CGAAAATGATCAAAGTCATTATATTAAAATAATATTAAAGTTGGAAAAGTAATATTTTAAAAGTTATGATAAATTGAATTAAACTTTGTAACAATCAAAATGTAAAGTTAATTTGATTTTTTTTAAAAAACAAAATCTTTAATAAGTATAAAAATTAAAAAAAATTAATAGAAAAGTATTATAATAAATAAATATGAGAAAAGGGCTTAGGATCAGTATTGAGAAAAAATATACTATAATTCGAGTTATTTAAATTCTGGGTAAATAGTTTAAAGAAAAAATTATCATTAAAATGAATTTAAAAAATTGCCAAAATTGAGATCATGTCAGATAGAAAATTATAGGATAAATAAATTAAGGAACCCACGATTAAAAATATTTTAGAATCTTATGATTTTACGATCTTTATAGTATAGGATATGAAATGATTTGTTCTTTTCATATAAATTGAAATAGTTAAAATCTATTATATTTTGAAGTGAGTTATATTTTCAAAAATTTGATATGAACCTGATAGGTTATAGCTTTGAATAAGAAATCACTAATGCTAAAGTTTGGGCCAATGTGTAATGCTTAATTAGCATAAATTCCAGTTTGGTAATTAATTCCATTTTTGTATACTTGAATATAAAAATAAAAAGAGTTATTAGATTAATAATAAAAATTTCAAAATCATTACTAAGAGTCAAGATAGAAAGAAAATTGAAACACTAAAAGCAATCTTAATAAAAAAGATTAATTTTTGATCTAATATGTAATGCAACTAAGTGTTGTTAAACGGGTAACCCAATATTAGCCAAAAAATAAACCCTCGAGATTTTGTTAATAGATGCCCAAATTTTTCTGTCACTATGAGCAAAATCTCCAGACCTGCCTAATATTTTTTGGCCAAAATCTTAAGTTAGCAGTTTAAAAAATCGAGCTGTTTAACAACACTAATGCAGCTAAATTAAATTTCATAATATATTTTAAAAATTAACTTATAACATCTGCCTTTGATATTTTTATAATATCGTAGCGGTAGCATAGACCTATCCAGGATTTTGCTAAGGGGAGAGGAAAGGGCTATTATATATATTTTTGACCCATAAATTTTATTGGGGTTCTTTAGGTCTAAGGTGTAGGGTGTATAGGGGGAGATTTTATTAGTTAAAAAATAATATTTATGAGAACAAGAAAATTTACGAATTGGTTACGGGCCTGAGAGGTAGAATAAAAGGTAGTCAATAGACTTCTGGTATTGTTGGAAAATAATACCAAAAGAATCGGTTACAGTGAAAATGAAAACATTAAAATCGATAATTTTTTCCCGTCAAGTTCTATCGCTGAACTATTGTTTAATAAAGTAAAAGTAATAAACGAAATTGGTTTTTAGAAACAATGATGAACGGCGTTCCTCTTAGACAAATTTTGAACGTGAATGATTTTCTTTTTTTTTGACTAACGTGTTCGTTTTTTTCGTTCAATTTTGAAAAATTTTCATTTTTTATTTTGAAATATTAATTAATATTAATCCAAATGTGAAAATTACCTTTTTTAATTTTTTTTATGAAGTGATTGACTAGCTTAAATTGAAAACCTTAAAACTGTAACTGTAAATATAATATTTTAATGTTGCTTTTACAGCAATTGTGTTTTTTATATAATAATATTATATAGGATTTAAAAGTTTTTAAATATTCAAATTAATACCATTTAACTAATCGATTAATGAATAATATTCCAGTAGGAACAATTTATTCGAATAATCCTAATTGATATTCCTGATTCCAATACTTTATTTATTTCTTTCTTTCTTCGATTCGTAAAAACGAAGCAATGCCTAAAAGTATTAATCAATCGCGATCAATAAAAAAGTTACTATTATAATTTTTAAATTTTTTCTAGTTAAAGAATTATTATATATATTGTATTGGGGTTTGGAATCCATGAGGATTCAAAATCTATCGATTTCAAGTCATTTAGTGAAGACGATTTATATTTTTTAAAGATTTGGCTTGAAATTCATTCAATTTATAAGAATACCCACGCTTCAAACAATTATGAACTTTAGAATTATAAAGAATTTTTCAAATAAATTATAAAATACAAAAATAATTATCACGTATTAAAATTCAGAGGGTATGCTCTACACATAGAGGTATTTACCCGGATTAGGCTTAAGAATTTTTTTATACAAATACCAGAGCCAGACCAGAAAAATATTTCTCCTATAAATCCGAGTCGGGCCGAGCCGAATATTTTAAATCGCTAATTATTATATATATAGTAAATGGATGAAATATAATAAAATTAGTGCTGTAAACGTTTTAATACAAAAAGAAACGCGTTACCGTTACTCATTAAGTTTGAAAAAAGAAACACGTTACCGTTTAAAAAAGGAACGTGCGTTACTGACTATTCAAAAAAGTAACGGGTTATTCGTTATTTAAAAAATTTATAAGATAACATCTTTTTGTACCAATTTTTTATTTACTTTTAGCAACAATTGATTTTCAAAATTTTGATCAGACAACCAAGAGCGCGTGCTCAACACAGCTTTCGTCGTACTAAACACGTTCAATTGGCGCAGAGGATGGGAGAATTGTATTATATTTAATAAATAAAAATTTTAATTCGGGGAATTTATTAAAAATGAATTATCTTTATTTTGAAAAAAGCTTAATAGATCATCTCCACAAGAATCTTCATTCATTTCCTCATCAAATTTTTTTTTATCTTTATCAGAAAATATTTTGGTATAATATGTGTTGGATAAAGAAATTAATGCTCTTTATCAATCTTTTTTCAAACTGAAAAGAAGTTCTAGCATTCTTTCTTTGTTGATCTCTAATTTTATACAGGGCCATTCCAATTTAAATAGCGGGTGAATTACTACCGATAATAAATATATTCAACTTTATAGATGTGTTTAAATCTATTGAAAATAAAAGATAAACAAAATATAAATTGCTATCAATATTTGAACTGTATACTTTTTATCTATACTTTCTTGAATTAATAAGAGGCTTACAAAACTTGAAATTATCATTTTTTAAAGTTTATTATAGTAGTTATCGTGGGAGTGAGATATCCCATTCTTCACTCTCTAAAATTGAAAGATCTATAGCAATCTGTTCCATAACTTATAAAGTCATATATATACAATATTTCTTAATTAACATTAACCATACTATTCATCTATGAACGCTTGTGGTTATCTGAAAATCTCTGTAATTCAGATTTATCAAAAGATTCGTCAAATTTTTGACAATTCTCCTAAATAAGACTATTAATTTCACTGAGTTTTAAAAAGAGTTCCATCTTGTTATAACCGGTTTAAACAGATATCTTCCCATGTTTTCCTTAAAAATAGTTGCACAGTCTGAAGATTGCCCATGTTTATTCCACAATAGCTTACAGTAAGAAAATTTAATTTTTGAAATGGTTTTTAAATGGACATCGTTTACCTGCCTTTTCAATGTCAACAATTGCAATGAGATTTAAAGTGTGTGCTGAACAGGAATGATGCTTAGGTAATTATGCAATACTATAATTAGTATTTTTATTTTCAAATAGATCAAATACTGGCAGAGGAACTATTTTATCATCCGATTCCTCTCCTTGTCATATATTCCAATGAATTTTTATTAAATATATTATAATTTTTTTACTTGAAAGCTTTTATACAATTTCTAGCATTGTCGGTATGCATTTGGCCACTTTATTTTGTCTTATATGTGGTAAAAATTTCAAAGTTTATTTTTGCTAGATAATCAAATGTGTGTTTTTGTTTATCCTGTAACAAGCTAAGCAGGCTGAAACCCTCTTAAGAGTGTCCGGGTGTAACCAGTGTACCGTCATCCCTAAATAAGAACATTTTTAAAAGACAATATTATCAATCTATAAAATATATATTTTATATACCGATGATAAGCTGACCAAGAATCCTCAGTTTTACAGACAATTTTTGGAATACACAATAAATTCACTAATTTGCAATAGTGCTAATGCTTTGTTAATTTTTAATAGGAGGGTAGGCATAGACACCAGATTTTGGCTGCAATTTTTTAATAATATTA